TTTGTTGTTGCTATGACATCTCACATTACATGATATATTTTAGATGGTACAAACTATGGTAATGTGTGCTCTTTCCATCTGAGCAGTAGTTGCGGAGTGAAAAATCATGTCTTTTGTATATATATGTATATATAAAAAAAAAGTAATTGTGTTTTTGATGGAGTTGCTTGTCATTTGTTGACTACCTGTATAACTTCTGAAAAATGTCAGAAAACTAAGCTGTTAAGCTTCTGTGGGTTATTCTTTTGTCGTGTTACTCTATACTTTAGTGCTTTTTAAAAGGAACTGATACAACAGAGGTGTGGAGCTTCCAGTGTTCCATTTCACTACCTCAGGCTTGTGGCGATTTGGTTCCCTGCTTTTTACCTTGACTCTCTAACAATTCTGCCTTTGTTGTATAATACAAGACTACCCATAATTCTAAGTATGGAAAAAAAAAAGTTTTAAAGTAATAAATAAATAATTTTAAAGGCCAAGAAAGAAATGTACTAGAGAATAATCCGCAATGACGTATTTCTTTGAACTTTGAATTGATTCAGATGTTAGAAATGTTGTATAATTAAATTATATAAAGAGAATTGTGAATGGGATTAGAAAAATAAGGCTGACAAAGGCTTCACTGTCTTTCTTTTGCTCATTCTGCCCCTAAATACACACACCGGCCACTTTCTTAGGGATAAATTGTTAGAAATATGCAAGATTAATAAATTAGATTTTGGTTAATAATGATTAAATGTACAGATTTGTTTACACACCTATGATGCTAGTTCATCTCAAAGTTTTGTTATTGAAATGAAATGGTGAGCACATGTAAGTGTAATGGCGTAGTGGAATGGTTTGGACATGGCAAGCATCAATACTCTGATAAACTGTGGTATTTAAACAATGCTCAGTTGATACTAGGGGCCCAAAGTATGCCAAGACACTTTCCTCCACAAGTTATACCACAACTACCATTCTGGACTGTTGATGCAAGGCAGGATGGATCCGTTGTTTATGGCTATTTCTGACCTTGAGTGATCTGACCTATTAGACCAGTCAACCTTATTCCAGTCTTTTTTTTCCTAGTGTTTGCGAGTCTGTGTGAATTGTAGCTTTACCCCAATTCTTGCCAGTTAAAGCCCATTTTCAGTGTTCAAAGGTATTCAGAGACGCTGTTCTGCAAACATTAGTTGTAGCGAATGGTCATTTGAGTTGCTATTGTTTTGTAGCAGCCAAGGGTGTCCAAACTTGGTCCTGGAGGGCCAGTGTTTTGCAAATTTAAGCTTCAATGCACCTTGCAAGGATGTTTCTAGAAAGCCTTGTAAGAGCTTGATTAGCTAGCCCAGGTGTGTCTGATTGGGGTTGGAACTAAACTTTGCAGGACACCGGCCCTCCAGGATTCTACACTAACATCTGGCATCAGCAAGGCATTTTCACAAAAAGGCAAGGCAAGTTTATTTACTGTATATTGCTTGTTTTATACACAGTGGCAATTCAAAATGCTTTACATAAACAGGAATAAAAACAAGATTATAAGAAAATAAAAACACAAATCTGATTTAAAAATAGATTAAAATGTGTTAAACAGGTTATAAAAGACTGAAAAAGAAAAGAAAGACTTAATAGTGTGATCTGTTGGATGTAACAAAGTGCTTATTCAGTAAAGACACAGCTAAATCGATGTGTTTTCAGTCTTGATTTGAACTTGTAATGTTGGGGCACATCTGATCATTTCTGCAAACTGATTCCGCCAGCAGAGGATGTAGTAGCTGAAGGCTAATTCACCGTTCATTGACTGAACTCTTTGAATTTCTAGTTGATATGATCCTAAAGATCTGAGTGATCTGTTGTATTCAGTGAGTATATCTGTAATTTATTGAGTTCCTAGGTTATTTAGTGATTTATAGACCGTAATAATACTTTAAAATCTATTTTGAATGTAACTGGGAGCCAGTGTAAATACATGAGAATAGGTGTGATGTGCTCTGATTTTCTGGTTCTGGTCAGAATCCTGGCAGCACGTTCAGGATGAGCTGCAACTGTCTGACTGTCTTTTTAGGAAGGCCAGTGAGGAGTCCATTACAGTAATCCACTCTGCTGCCGATAAAAGCATGAACAAGCCTTCACTAGAAACAAAGCATCTAATTCTTGCAATGTTTTTAAGATGATAGTATCCTAATTTAGTTACTAAATGACTACTGAATTTCATATCTGACTCCAGACTCCAGACACCAAGATTCTTGACCTTATTTATTGTTGGTTAACCTCTAGAGCCAAGGTACGCATTCACATTGAGAATGCCCAAATGCAGTGACTCCAGTTTTCTCTTTGTTTAACTGAAAGTTTTGGCACGTAAGAACTGTACAAACCCTAATAATGGTTGAGCATAGAAATCCCAGTTGATTAGGTTGTTTCTGAGATACTCAAATCGAGGTGACTTGCTCTAACAACTTTGTCATGTTTAAAGTCACTTTTTTTTTTTTGCCCATTCAAGCTTTTTTGGACTTTAGCAGATTGTCTTCATCTTGTATACATGTCTAAATGCATTTCTGCCATGTGATTAGCTGATTAAGTATTTGCATCAATAAAACAGACTCTCAATGGCTAGAGAATACTCATAATGCCCTATAGATATTTACATTAGATGTTGCCTACGGTGTTGTTGTCTATTGGAAGGAATGTGTCAATAGGGCCTCCATTTTAGTATAGGGTATAATGCTCATTTGAAATGAATGTGAGACCAAGGTGTAGTGGAGGACTGGCCATACAGAGCCATAGATGGGTAAACATTTATACATATATCTACGATCAGGAGTTTTCCCGGTGGTCAATATGAAATTTTTTTTATTATGAAAATTAGAATTTGACATCACTTTTGGATGTATGGAATGAGCGATTAATTTGTGAATGAAGATCCATTATTAAGGGTTCGTGTGAACCACCAATATTACTGTCTTTCTCATCTAAATGGTTTGTAATATTTGTAATATTCAATAATTTAGGGTTGACAGTATGCCCATTGAGGCACAGGCACTGTTATATTATCAGGCACACTTATAAGTAACTTCAAAAACTAGCAGTTACTTCACTTAGCTAACAATAATACATGTTTCTGACACCGCAGCGTCTTGTTGTCATATTTCATTTACATTGTTCGCTGATTTTATTCAACAACTAGCATTGGCCTAGAATGTAGAGCAAGTTGGTGCTACTTTGCCTTATGATTAAGGCAGTAGGAGACTATATTATCATCAGTAAGGTTACTTGTTGAGCACAAAAGTTCATAGCATACAAAATCATGAACAAAATCTGAAATGTTTATTCTTTGTTTGCTTGTTACTACACTTGTACGCAGTGCAAAAGTCCAGCATCTTCAGATTGGCTTTAGTCTTAACTAAGTGCAGTTGATTGACATTTGTCCTGGGAGCACTGTACAAATGTGGTGGTACTGACGCATCCTCAGGGTTCGTATGCGATATCTAGTGCATATATCTATGATAAAGCCCTGTGAGAGTTTGCGCACAAAATGAATTCTAAATAATTGAATTAAGAAATTGTATACATTTGTACATGGAAGCAATCAAACAAATTTTTATTACTAGACAGCTTTAATTTTTATTAACCAACATAATGTCACCCTTCTTGTGCACTCACAAATTCACTCACTTGTTTTCTTTCAGTCCTTCTGAAAAAAAGTTTAGATCTACTTCAGATGTTGACTACAATATACTAGTGCAGTAATTTAGGGAATTGTGAATGAGGGTATATGTGGCTATTTCGGAAATAGCTATGGTGTCTGAAGAGTCCATAGTAAACAGGCTACACACAAGTGTTAGACATAGAAATCCAATACTTTTATTTTACATTCATACATCTATATTTTACAATAAGCTTAATGCATTTTTTTTTATTTAAAAAAGCCCAATCCCAAAACAAGTCCTGAAAATGTATAGCTCGCGCAATGAGTTGCATTTTTTTTCTTAAAGTGTGTGAAAAGCAATTATAAAGCACACATGCACACACACTCGCGCCTCCCATCCTTCTGTCCATGAAAACATTCTCACATGTCTACACACTCAAAAAGGGAAAATAAGGACATGTGTTGCCCTTCAGTTGTACCTTAATAGAGCTGGGCTGAATGAAAAGAAATTCAGACACCGTTGAGAAAGGCACCTTGAGTACACAGTGTATACACAGACAAAAAGAAAAAAGACAATAGTATAACCTTTTACTGTAGCTTCTAGAACAATGACAAAACTGTAAACTTTCACTTGCCAAATGAAATAAAAAGTCACGTTTCTATACAAATACATCTAAAGCAAAATATCTCCTTGGTCATAACATAGCAGTACCTTTTTCTTTTTTTTAATCATCATCATAATTATTACTTCTGAATGCATATGTCACCATGTCAGATCGGCTCTGCCAGCAGAGAGCGATCTTAATGTGAAGTAATTACATTTTGTCACAATAGTTATGCAGTTGCCTACATAGTGAAAGTTTATCAGTGGCAACCCACCTCATGCATGTTTTCCCATTTCAGAGAGCAGCCATCATTCGAAAGTACACAACAAAAACAAAGTAAGATATTCAATGCTATAGTCACAGTTAGGAGTTCCTCTTACAAGACAGAGGCCGTTCCAACATAGTGTAACCTGTACATTTATATATATATAAAAATCTATAGACACACAATTCTTTGCTTTGCAAGAAATGTTCGACGAAAAATATTCCAACCTCAATCAAAATCCTCCATACCTTCATAAAAGTATGTTTTTGTTTTGTTAGAAAATACTGTATTTTCAAAAACCGGATTTAAATGTTTTACATTCCATCCTTCTTCCAACAAAATAAAGCTTTTTATAACTCAAAATGTAAAAACACTCTCAACATCAATATATATTTATATGCAAATATAAACAATAAAGTGACTACAAGAGACCATATTGTGGTTCTATGTTCAAATGTAGAGGAAACCCGTTTAGACTGGCAGTTAATGCCAGTTAGTTTTTTTTTTCTCCTTGTCCGATTGACACAGTGTGGCACTAAAATTTTGAATGATTGTACAAGTCAGGTCATATAATGCCATGGTCAGGTCTTCCCATAAGTGCCTGCTCAGCATGCCTTTGTCAGGTCGGTTGGTAGTTCTGTCGAGGACATGCGATATTGGATCTTGGTATTGGTGATGGCACCATGTTTCTGTCGGAGGTGTAACCGCAGCTGACTCTTGTGGCGAAAATGCAAGTTGCATTTCTCGCACTAAAAAAATAAATAAAAGAATAGCAATGTAAGGCATGGATAAATGCTTGTACTTTATCTTATAGATATACTAATGATCTCACTGTGTACATGCTTACATGATAGGGCTTTTCTCCTGTGTGTATCCGCAGGTGACTTTTCAGCGTCTGCAAATGGCGGAAACGAGTACCACAGATCTCGCATGGATATGGCTTCTCTCCGGTATGAATCAGAACATGAGCCCGAAGGTGAGCAACCTGTTCAAAGAGGTCATGTTATTCTTCCAAATGACTTCTGCTATGTCTAAGCAATTGACTGCATCTCAAAAGGACTCACCTGCACGAATCTAGCGCCGCATGTCTCGCACTTGTATGGCTTTTCTCCTGAGTGAATTCGCGTGTGGGTTTTGAGGTTAGCGGGTCTGTTGAACTGGGCCCCGCAGATATTGCATCTATACGGTTTCTCTCCTGCAGCACAAATGAAAGGAGGTTAAGCAAAACATCGAACACTGAAGCCAAAATGACATTTGTAGCAGCGGCTGTTTATTTTTACCGGTGTGAACTGTTTTGTGACTGGCAAGGTTTCCCTTGTAGCGGAATGCTGCTTGGCAACGGTCACATTTGTATGGCTTGTCGCTGTGGACCTGAAGCGTGTGGCGTTTCAAGGCTTCCTCCTCTGCAAACTTGGAGTCGCATTCATTACAGAAGTATGTTCCATTTTCTGTGAGGCAGAGAAATGTTTTGGGTTGGTTTTGGAAGATGCAAACAGGTTTTTAGAAAACCATTTAGGAAAAAAAAAAAGTGTCTTACCACAACTGGAATCAGAATACTCGGAGTGCATCTCGGACATCTCCTCAGCCAGACGCGAGGCGGATGTGTTGGGACAGACGTCAGAGTGCTGTGGAGACTGGGAGCCACAGGATGAGCATTTCAAATGGTTCATATAGAGAGAAGAGTGGCTGTCGACGTTCCTCTGAGATCCCTCCAGACTTCTGCTGAGAAAAATGCCACGTTTTTAGCTCATTTTGCAGTGGAATTTACTCTAATTTTTTATAGGATACTGAATGAATTTCACACATTCCAGCTAAGAGGTAAATCCTCTGTGTGCTTTAAGAGGATTGAAATGGATGAAGGAAATTCAATCTGGCTTTGTGGAGATGGTGGGTGGAGAACCGTTTTACAAAATACTCAACAAACCTGCAGTTTCAAACTTTCTTGAATTAGAAACAAAACCTCCCAATTGAATTCTTTAAACCAACTGTAGGTTGAGAGCTTTTTAGGCAATTTTGAGACAACCTCACCTGTTGATGATGTTGTTGAGACGACTGGCCTGAGGCGCAGGGAAGTCTTCGCCCTGCTCGCTAATCTTTGTTGTCACTTTTGAGTCAGGATGTTCTGAGTCAACATGGTGAAGGAAAGCAGACAATCCCGGCCTCTGTGGGGAGTGCATTCCAGGGTCAGGAGGATTGGTCTCCTCCTCCTTGGAGCTCTGATTGAGCACAATGAACTTGTATTTCTTCCAGTTGCGAGCTTTAGGATCTGATGTACCTTGAGAAGTTGGAGGTTGCAAGGCCTGTGCGAGAGCAGCATTTTTGCTGCTGCTTGATTCCGTTGGAGAGTTGGGCTGGCAGTCTGATTTGAGGGGGCTCTGGGGACTGCTCATCAAGGTTTTGCGCCCATTAGAGGATATACCCATGGAGTAGTGTTGGTGGCTCAAATGTTCCTCTGCTAGGGAACTCTGCTCTTTCCCACTCTCCCTCTGCTGCTCCTGAGCCAGGCTAATGAAGCCGTGCTTCCTGGAGCTCATCCCGATCGAATGGACAACGCCCTCCAACGTCTCCCTCTTCATATCTTCATCTCTTCCCAGCTCCCTGGAGGAGTATGACCCGGTGTGGCAAACAGCTGAGCTCCCACTGGTAGCACTGCGGGTGAAGTCATTCAGCACTGGGTTGTTACCGTCACTCGGCGAGCAGTGTTTGTGATGAATGATGCCTCCCTTTGAGAAGTCTGAGAAAGTGTTTTTAGTGTCTGTCAGCTTGCAAAGAGGAAAGGGGAAGCCTTGCATGGGAAACTGGCCATAAAGGTACGAGTTGTTAGGAGCATTGACCCCATTAAACATGCAGACACCATAAGGTCTCCCGTCTCTGAAAGTTGCTGATCGTCCTGACACATTATCCATAACCTCATGGGGTCTGTAACTGTGAATGTCTTGAGGTAAAAGCAGGGGGCTGACCAGAAAGTCCTCTCTGGGAAGTTTGATGGAGGAATCGCTGCAGAAAAATATGATGCAAATTAAAGAACAACTGTTTTTCTTTTGCATTCAAGTATGGCACTTTGTCTCCACTTAACTCGCTGTGTTTTAAAGAGTGTAATTTATCAACAAATGAAAATATACCTGGACTTTATGAATCTGTGGCACGTGTCAACAACGTGGTCCATCTGCAAGTAGATGGCCGTGTTCATGATGGCCATGATGAGGCTCTCCTTCAGTGCGAGACGTGAAGTGTACATGAACTCCAAAAGGATTGCGAAACCCTCTGGGTCGACCTTCGGGTCCAGACTGATGGCGTTCAGGTTACATTTGTGTGAATCGGTAAAGATAGAGTAGAAGAGCCCACTGTGGAGAAATTATGATTTTAGTCAACTTTTTAGGTCGCACTTTAACACATTTCCACCACAGACAAAGTATATAACAAGCAAGCAGCCTTCAATTGTACCTGCATGCCATAAGGACTGTTTTGTGTGCTCGAAACTGCTGTCTGTTGACCAGAATCGTGACATCTGTGAGGATATCTCTGCTACGCAGTCGGTTCAGGTTGAGCAGAACATCACTTGCATGACGCGTGAATTGGATGCAGCTGTCGGCTGCACAAGCCATTTTTTCTAGATCTGTTAGGAAACAATGAGAACTGTGAATGATGCAATCGACACTCACTTAACAACATGCAGTAAAATAAGAAAAGTTGGGTAATATTCTAACATCACAGGATTTATTAAAGCTTTTATTGGCGTTTAAAAACTTTACAAAGTTGATGATTCCCCCCCTTTTTTTGGGAAGGTATGTCAAAACATCTATTTAAATAGTTGTATTCCTGTTATGCATCAAATTGTCATTGCGTACCTCCTCTGCTTTTTCTAACAAAGGAACAAAAAAAAAAAAAAAGGATACGCTATGGAGAATGACAGCCTCAGTCGCCATTCACTTTCATTGCAACTTATTTATTTATATATTTTTGCATATACTCAAAATGAATGGATTGAGGCTGTCATTCTGCCTGACATCTCCTTTTGTGTTCCACTGAAGAAAGAAAGTCATTCTGATTTTTCACAACAGGGAGGAGAGTTAATGATGACAGACTAATCATTTTTGGGTGAACTATCCCTTTAATCTGAAAAATCAATTATATATATAGTCCTCAAAAATGCTGCCTTGTTTCTCTCCCCCATCTCCGATAGGGGGCGACAAATGATGAAAGTTTAGAGAACTGACATCCATCCACGTGCAGTACTTCTGTCAGGTCTGAGAGTCATTATTCATCCTACATAAAATTGTGTGACAGCATTATAGGAACTTTCATCAAGTTAATTTGTTTAAATGCTAGTCACGGAAAAAGGCATATGTATCTTAGTATGTCCCAATTTCACATTTACACAGTTTTTGCCTTGCAAAGAAAATTGCTTCTTTTCCTGCGAGTTTAAAGTCTTTATGTTTGGAGAGAAAAAACTCAAATGAGTCATGGGAAAATGTCGTTAGGCTGTTTATTGCGGTTCTGTGGACCGATACGCTTTACTATTGAGGGATGGGTGTAATAACAGACAAAGTGGAATAGTCAACAAACACAGCCGAAGAATTATGGTAATACAGCAGAAGAGTTTATTTTTGTAATGGATTAATTCTGTGATAGCCTCGCACGTGTTTTTCTCTCCACCGTTGATATACTCCACCAATCACCTCAGACGGTTCTCCCAGTCACATCTGGCGCCTTGACACAAATATAGTTTCACTGGGCGCCTTTAAATAGTTAGGCGAACATTTCTCAGATGTTGAACATTCAGTATTAGAGATTCTGTTTCCATTTGAGACTACATAACATCAATATCCCGACCGCGAGCTGTCATGCTGCCAAAGCAGCTTAATCAGCCCGTGACTCTTGTAATGCTCTTGTGTGAGGAGGCGAAACACCCAGATGACCGAGAGAGGGGATCGGGATTTTAACGAGTGGACAAACAAAAAAACACACGCTCATGACGCACGGAAACCACCAAAACATTGCAAAACTCCAGCACGTTACAATGTTTTTGACAGTTTAACCCAAACTTTTAAAACCGCACATTCACGTTCTCCACAACTACTTTCATCATTTTAGAAATGTAAAGTTTATCTTCCACGAGATGTCACCCAGAGACCGTTTTGTCATTCAGCGGTACTAAGCGACACTGACAACACCTGCGACTCTCGTATCAAGTCATATTTAGCAGATTCATCGGCATTTGAGCGCTCTTAAATCACCATGACGGTAAACAGAACGCCAACTTCTCACGAACACAGAAAAGTGTCAAGAGTAGCCTACACGCGTTCCGCTGTTGAGCTCTCGCGTCTCACGTTCTTAGTTTCCGTCTTAAGTGCTAGCCTAAATCTTATTTAACACTTTTATCCTATGTAACTGAACGCCAATAAATGTGCTCACTCCCCGAATAGAGCCCGCGCCACAACACGCAAAGAACGGACAGAGATTTATGAGGCACTCGTTCGCTCAATGCCAAACAGCACTTTAAATATAGTCCATACCTGTTTATACATATACATTGCATTTTTAGTATATATTTGGTGCCTCTGACACAAACACACGCATTGAAACGTACTCTAAAAATGAATAGAACACATTGGTGAGAATTGGCACATATACGCACAGAAAAAAAACATTAAGCTATAGCTGAGAGAAACTCGTGCAGGCTGGTCCTGCTACAAAGTGACAGCTACTGCAGAACGATACAAACTTTTCTATTGCATCTCTACTGCTGAAACACGTGAAATGCAACAATGAAAAACTCTCTGGAACCTTTATAAATCGTATCGACAATTCACATGACATAAACATTAATATATTTTCAAAGATGACATTGAGTCTCTGCGCTTCGGAAAAAATAAAGACAAATTGCAAATGCGCTCAACAGCTGTACAGCCAAATCAGAAAGGGTTATTAGGATGTGATTTACACCAACACAAACAAACTGCAAACACAAAGTACACGCTTTTGGCACAGGACAACAAAACCAAAACGTCACGAGAAAGAGCGAGCGAGAGTACAAACTCCGGGCTCTGAACTACTTTAAAAAACCTGCGCTGATTAAAGAAAAGGAGTGAAATTAATTTTCGGATGTCTTCGCTAACGATTCTGTTTTTATATTTAACCAAGCAGTACACAAACCCTGGTTTATATTCGTATCAACCAAGAGCTATTTAATCAACTCTAGAGCTTGTCTAGTTTGGCTGCTTTGGTACCGCGTCTGAATTTCCACCCCTCTTCTGCACACACTATTTACGACCCCACGATCCCGCAGTGAGGACTGACAGTGCAGTGTAGTTCATGCAGGACGACCTGAACTGTCAAAACTATTTTTACCAGACAGACCCACTGCATTAACAATCTGCCCTGAAAACTCCACAAAACGCCTCAAAATCAGCCGAAATAAACATTTAACCATAAAATCCAATAAAACAGCCTAATGAACATGTGTGACTAATGGCAGCAGCGCGCCAGTGGAAAAGAATGTAAAAAAATCACCTGGTAGTGCTTTCCTAGAAACTTCTTGCATCACCACTTCTAAGAACCCCAGTTCTAAGAATCAGAAGAGCTCAATTCTCGGAATTTGAGCTGGCGACCATACCATTTTTAGAGGGCAGGGGAGTGTCGTGTTTTGCTTTAAGTTTGCATTTCTTCGGTTATTGCTAAAAACATGATTTCACATCACTGCACTTTAATAACAAAACATAATGTTTATGTAAACGACGTTTTAAATGTAAACGAAATCATTATATTGCCGTAACGATTGAGAAAAATAGTGGCACTCGGTGTTTAATTCCTCCTCTCTAATGGACGCGTCCAGACAGAGACGGTCACGTGGGGAGAGAAAGTGGCTTACGTACGTTGTCTTTTTAGCCCAGCCTCAAAATACTCAGAACTAATTTGCTATTCCATGACATAAGCAAAGTGTCCATTCGTTGCTTTTCACTGTATTAAACCCACGGCCATAACCCAGTCTTTACAGAACATATCTGGAGCGCTTATTCACACGGACACGTTTTGTTTATTTATTGTGTTATTTTTGATACCTTTTTTCTATTATGTTGCCTCTTCAAATCTGTGGACCAGCCGGCCAGTGGGCACAAGGGTTTGTCTGATTGGGATTACATACATGAACATTGAGACATTGTGCTTGCATACCGGCTTTCTCGCATCTGGAATGTCGTTAATTTATTTTTAGAAAATTGTAACTTCGATTTAAACTGCTTTGTGCTCGTCGTGGTTTGTCTGTCACGTCCATATAACCGGTAGGCTATGAGCACGAACTGCTCTCGAATGGTTTAGGCAATTGTGTTCGAGAGGAATGTTGATTAATATTTATTTGACGCTTCGTTTCGGAATTGTGCGGGCTAATTGTCAAGTGACGCGCGAGCGCTGGTCTCTTGATGAATGCAGTGACAGAGGCAACAACTGACTGACCAATTAATCTTATTTTGCGTACAACTCCGCTTTACCAAACAACATTTGTAAAGCCACGCGATCTGTATAAACTGATTTTACATTCCGTGAAGTGTCACATATCCCTCACGGTGAAACTCGATGACAGCAGCATACTAAAAACAGCAGTTCGTACAAACACTTGTTGTTTAGGCCCACGGATATTCAATATATGTTTATATGCGCGTTAACTGCGTTAAACTGTTTGCTCGTGAACGGTCTTTCCTAGTTTGTTTTTATAATGTATTATTCTTAAAGCGTCGAAACTTTTATAAACTGAAATTAAGCTGCAAAAACCGACATATCAGCATCTCTAGTTAACCCCAGGCCTCCGTTTATTAGCCTGTAGGGCACACAGTAGTTAACCTGTAGTAGATTTAATGCCTTTTTTCCAGACGTACCGCAAAATATTGGAGAATAAAAATAATTTCTGATATTCATCTGTCGTAACTCTCTTCAAAGTTTTACTCATCTTTTTTTTAAGTTACGATGCAGATGTGGACATGTTTTATTCTGTCAAAGTGGCCATGCGGTGGTTTTGAAAAGCATCTGTCAGAAAGCATAAGGAGGAGGAGATGACACGTCTGTTTGCTGCTTTGAGTATATTCTCTTCCTCTTTCAAGTTAACATTTTTTTTCTTATTGTCAAGCGCGAACAGTCAGTGCAGGTCCAAAACCATAAACTGTAAAAAGGTCCAAACGCACGTCAGGCGTCGTGTTTTCCAGAATACACTCGCAAAATAAGTCTAGCAAGCTCCCCGAGTTTACTCATTCGGTTATAACAGTAGTTACTGCGATATCCCCTGAGACACATCAACTCATAAGAACACCTGATAAAGAGAGAGAAGTTAAAGTATTTTAGATGACCCATCAGATTAACTGAAGACCATAATTTACCTCAAGTATTCAGAAATCAGCTAACGCTGGTTTAGCGAGCACAATCCTCGATGTTTGTGTGAGGGATAAAACGTTATTTTTTAGCACATATATTAGTCTATATTTTTGCAGATATCGTCTCTGATGCATGTTTTGGTCTCCAGGAGATTATTTTTTGTAAGGTAAAGTGCTGAGTAACGAACAACATGAACTTAATATGTGAGCATTCCCTTGGGCATTCTATAATCTCACTTTGTTTTTTGCCACTGAAATGAATTATTATTGTGTAATATGGGCTATGCAACGTGAACTCTGGAATGCAAGGAACTTTTCCGCTGGGTCGTAAATATTTGGTCTGCTAGTAGTTTTGGATCTCATTTGCTCTAGACGTTTTTGTTTTAAGGCCTGTTAAGTTTGTAGATTTTAACATGATGTCCTTGCATGCTTTTTGTTATGAAGATTGCTTGTAAAATTGGTAATGTGGAAAACTATCGAAATGAACAGCATAGTGAGTGCTTTATATTATTGAACCCACTTTGCATATTTTTGTACAATCTGCTTATAACCATATGCATTGTTTGTTATTTGCTATTGTGTATTGTAAATGTGTGTAGATGCATATTGACAGATAATAAATAAAATAGTTTTTACTACATTTTGATGTCAAGTGTTTGATTTGCTTGCTTTGAAGCTAAGCTTTTGTGGCGTATGCATGTGGGCATCTTGAGACGTGAATCAGAAATATGAACTGAATGGTTATATTTGAGGTAGTAAGAACACATTATTAATGGTGTTGTAATCACTCTAGTTGTCATATTTCCTTCTGTAAGGGTAACTGTAAACTCTGACCTACATATACAACCTTTTACATAACTATCACCTGTAGTTTTAAGCTTAAGCTGAAAGAAAAGTCACCAGGAACGTCTGTCTTTTTTCATATTATTATGGCAGTTTTGTTTTGAGGGAAATAATAAGAGGAAATGGAACAAGTAGTGAACAAAAATGTGTTTGTATTAAGGATGATGGGTGTAAATTAATCTATATGGCGAAAAATGTCGACCAGATCTGTTTAATCTTGATTGCTTTATTCACTCTGGATTTGACATGTGGACTGCTGAGTGACTGACACGCTCACCTGAGTAACTGCGTTTGTGGCTCCAGCTGTGGGGAGCAGGTCCGTCCTCCCTTGTGCCGTTTATACCCTGACACAGAAGCAGCATCTGTTGGGCTGTGGTAGAAAAAATAAAAGAATTTCAATGTATGTTTTACATCTAATAGATTAGATTTTTTTTTTGTCTGGACTTTTTTGCAACCATAATATTTTGCTGAAATTTTTTTTTACAATAAATGACAGATATGAGCAAAATAATTCTGATATTGCGAAGACTAATGGACTAAGTAATAGAGAGCAATTTATATTTTTTATTTAATATAATTTTATTGATGTACTTAGTTTTTCAGGCTGACCTCTTTTTTTGTGATTGTTGTTTACCTGTTTCGTAGGCCCACTTTTATGTGGGCTTTTTTTCTTAACAAAAAATGGATGCAGCTTATATATTTATTCGAGACAGCAGAACGTAAAGATTAAAGTCTTGGCAGACAGCTGTATTTAAATTTATACTTTATTTCTTTTGTGACAACTTTGTTCTGTTAAACATCATAATGTAAATAACCTGACAAGAAGAAGGTTAGGTTTGCACATACCGATCTAGTCTATCTCTGATCTCATTCTTGTTCTTTGGTTTCATTTGTATCTTGATTTGTGCTTTGTATATACTACTAATACAGACACTGTAATTATTTACACATATTGAGTGATTATTATTATTTTTTGTTGTAGATCTTCTGTATGGCAACAGCGTCATCATTGCACCATTTATTTATATGAAATGGTGGAACATCAACAAAGGGGGGAAAAAAAGCACTGCTAAACTTTTGTGACACTATAGTGTGACTCAAAGGAAAAAAAAAAGATCTCACAAAGCACCGAGATAGAGATCAAATCAGGCAAGTGAAAAAGTGACAGAACCTGACGTACAGCTTTTCTTTGTTTCAAAACAAGCACTATCAGAAAGCTTTGGCTTCACTCCATCCATGAATCAAACAAAGTACATATTATAATATGATATGACAGACTAATATTCTGTCACACTTTTTGATAGGTGTTCTTAACTACTATGTAAATATCGACACAATAATGATAAAACAAGATTGTACTTATGGAAAACACCTTGCTACTGCAATGGGATACTGTAAATGTTATTAGCAGGCTTAGTGTGTAGATTTAAGCGTTAGTTAAATAAACCTAATTTATTACACCTGCTAATTAAGTATTTATGTTTTGAAATATAAGTACAGGATAAATACACACAAGTATCATTCCATCATATTAATAACCTATTTAGGAATTCGTTGAGAACAATTCAAATTCAGTAAAAAAATAAAAAGAAACTTTCTATTCAGGTGCAGATTTTATGACGTTAACTCTTGAACTTTCTTTTCATCCATGAAGCTTCCAGTCATGCATGATCAGCCCTGCATTTTTATCATAGTTATTCGTTAAGTCACCTGTTTTTTCAAATGTTGCTCAACCCCAAAATAAAAAATAAAAAAGTTTAAGTTCATATACAGAATTAAAGTGCTTTTACAATATATGAAGTTCACTAAATGTTACTTTTACTAACACTTCTAGTTCTAAGGCATCTCATCTTCAATCTCTTCTAAAACGTTTCCTTCATAATTACTCTGAAAGAAATGTGCCGCTATTGTAGAAGTGCAGAAGACAGGAAGACACGTTCCAAAAATAGTTTGCCTGTGCTCTACCTTGGCTAGTTGTAGCCCGAGTTGTGTGGGCTGACTTTTTTAGCGCAGAGGTGGAACAGACATGCGAGCTGGAACGCCTCTATACTGTTTTTTTTTTTTCTCTTGTGAAGATCCTGCATATATAGGCAGTCATAATACAAGCAACAGCGTGAATATTTTTGACCTTCTCATGACAACCCACAATGTAAAAAATTAATTTCGACAACAACCCACATGAAATGCGTTTAGTGTTGTGAAGAGGCAGAAGTCATTTACTTTCCTCACTTCAACACTGATTGACCTACTTTGTTATTTTGGCCTGGGGAGAGAATTGAATCAACGTAATAAATTGATTTCTCTGACCCACTAATACCAGCTTTGATTCCAGCGTGTTCGTTTAGAA